TTTTTTTTTTTTTTTTTTTTTTTTAAATTTGTAAAATAAGATGTATTTTATGTAGTAGCTATATATCCATATTTTCAATCGTAATTACTAAACACTAAATCTGTCTCTCAGAAAACTTCTAGAAAGCAAATCTTATATAGGTACAATCCTAATGGTCTATTTACTAATGTTAAGTAAAATCATATGCCAATCCTAAAAACAAAACTTATTCATTCTTAATGTACATGCAGATCAAAACCTATTTATGTCTAACATATGTTACTGACAGTCTGTTTCTTTTGACACAGTGGCCAGTCTGGGGAAGAAGTAAAACTCCGTGATGAAGTCATTAGAGTCTCAGACATTGAAAACCCTATGCTGTCAAGCCAGTGTGAATCTGGCTCCCCTAGTATACACAGTGACAGCAGCAGTGATACTGAGCTTGAATTTGTTTCCTCTATTCTACCAAGAAATCAGTCCGGCACACCCAGTGGGACACAGATATCTCAAAAAAATATACTCAGCAAGAAGCATGATCAGGAAGTATATTCCAAGCTTGGAGGTGAAGATTCTGGAGTGATAGAGGCCACAGAACAATTGAGTACATGTAAATTAGATTCCCTGGGAAAAAAAAGTACTTGTTCAGTTACGTTTCACAATAAACTAACTGATATTTCTTCAAAGAATGTTATGCTTGAAAATGGAAATGTTTCAGAAAGCTGTGAAAATAGCTGTAGTAGTTCACATGTAGTGTTTCTAGGTGTGAGCAAAAAGGGGGCAGAACAACTGAAAAGAATACTTACTAAATCAAAGCAGCATATCAAACCTACATTGAGAGCACCAGTTAATTCCCTTGCTGCTAAAGGCAATTTATTAGAAGTTCTTAAGCAAACTTTTATTGAATGGAGGACTGGCGAAACCTTAACATTTCTCTATGGTTCAAAATATGTTCCTGTACACTTACCAGAATGCACGTTGGCTGTCGCCTGTGAGAGAGAAGAACTTGATGAGGATGACATAGAGACAGCTGATGACCTTAATAATGATACCACTATGTGGAAATCTAAAAACACTTTGCCTTTTGCAAGTTCAGATGGAGTTGTTAAACCTTTGCCTAGTTACAAAAAGTTAAAAGAAGAAATTGAGCTATTAGAACTAAAAGTAAAAGAGTTCTATAAAGGAAAGTACATCTTGGCTGAAGAAACAGCAGCAGAAGTTCATGAGGAAGAATATTTTAGCAGCCATAAAGTAAGTGCACCAAAAAATAATGGGCTGTGTAAAATCCTACCTTTCAAAAATATTGGTAAGCTGCTGGGAATCATAAGTATGTACAGCACCTAACACAGTAGGATGCTAACCTAGATAGTTTCTAGATATTCCTCCAGGAGAAATGTTGAAGAATGATTATAAGGTTGCTTGTATCTGAAACTATATGTCTCAATTTGTATGGCTTTTAAAAATTTTAAATGAATTCCTGTGATTATCCAGTGCATCTACCTGCGCAATTAATACAGAGGAATAAACTTCAGTGCTTATTGAGCCAGTTTATTGCTCCCAGACACTCCATTTGAATGTGTACCTGGGACTGCAGTATGTTGAGCTGGTCAGAGCAGCCCTGGCTGGCAAGGAGCCCAGAAGCTCAGCCTGCCAGCCTGGGGCTGCTCCAACCTGGCTTACTGTGCTGTGGAGGGGCTGGCTGGAGCACTAGGGTATTCCAGTGTGGGGCTAGTTGGCAGGCAGCCCTCCCACTGAAGTACCCTCATGCCCCAGCCAGCTGGGTCAGCATCTACACACAGACTGCTGCACACGGAAAAACTCTGCAGCAGGATAGTACTTGTAAATGCTTGTATTTACAAGTACTGTCCTGTGTCAGAGTTTCTTATTTTCCTGTGACCTATTAGGGCCACATGTGTAGATGTGGAGACATTTACTGCAGAGCTAATTAGGTAGCTCCACAATAAATATCTCGTGTATACCTGCCCATTCAGTTTCATCAGCTTCCTGCCAGGTGATTGTGTCGTAAATTAATTGGTGGTTTGAGCAGCCTGAATGTGGTATGAGGCACAAAGAAAGAACCACTAAACTAAACCAAACTAAGAATGTTAAGATCTAGGGTAGTACTACCTGGTCTTTGTACAGGTGCCTAAAAGGAAAGAGCGGTTAACAACCTGTAACTTTTGCATAACTATTGTCTCTCCTCTTGGAGTACCTTAGTGATGGTTCCCATCTGTATGACCCATATGGAGACATCGTAATTATTCAGGTGACAAATTTTCCACAGCATAAGTATGGTGAGGTGTGGCCCACAGAGAACCAGGACTGAGAGAAAGGGAGGTTGTTGACTAGAAAAGCTGCCAGGAATCCAGAGAAAGGAAAGGGCTTTTTTTCCCCCTCCTAAAATTATTATGTAAGAAGGCTTTTATAAAACCTTTCGTTCCCTTCCCGTTAGGAATCAGAATTTTAGGGCTGGTAAGTAAGGCTCTGTTGGAGGCAACTAATCTTAAAATGTATGGAGTACTTTTGATGGTGGAAAATATAAAGGGCTCATCTGATGTTGGGAAAGCATCCATTTCCCACCCTCGCTTGCTTAAAAGTTAAAATAGGTTTTTGATATACTTTTTGTTAAACTCCTCCAAAAGAGTTGTGTTGATTTGTCAACTGCTGCACTCTAACACTGCAAAGACAAATTACAATGCTACTTCACACCGCTTTACATTTCTTCTTATCTCCATGTGCTGATAGGAAAGTTTATCGGCTCCAAAATGTGCAAAGCCAAATAAAGTTTTGTCTTCCTAAGTGTGCTACACCAGCTGAACATGCCCAGTTCTTGGTTTCCTCCTGACTGAGACAGTATTCTGGTGGACTAGAACAGGATAGATGCTTTGTATTGTTGTATGATTTAGTTTCAGGAAATTATTGATACGAAAGGAATAATATTGTAAATGTTCCTTTTTATAAAACAAAGGTACCTTAGCCTGTTTTAAAGTGAGAGGTTAGTCAGGCTTGGATATTTTCACTTGGGGTTCTCAGGAAAGATATCATTAGTCTTAACAATGCACCAAATACAGTTTTATTTCTGAAGAAAACAAAAAATGGATTTTTAGGCAAATTGTACTGAAAGCCTGTTTAATTCTTTGGTGTTCAGGAGCCCACTGAAATTTCCAGAACGTTGAAGCTGGATCATTATCTTAAAGCAATGGTTCTCAACTTTTTTAGTTTCAAGGCACCCCTCCATAACTTCTGAATTTAACGGCACCCATTTTGACAGCCACTGTTTTACTGCCTAAGCTTACCTCAGTGGTTCTCAGGTGGGTTACTGCTGGTGCAGCCAGATCAAACTGCCCCTGAGCACCTCGTGCCAAACCAAATCAGGAAGCACCTGCAGCAGGAGTGGGTGCTCTTGCCTGTGTATAGGTTTATCTGATAACCTAATGCAGGCAGAAGTGCCCACCCTTGCCACAGCCCTTTCTAGGCCACCCCCACATGCTCTTCCTGGAAACTCAGGCTCCTTCAAAAACAGGGCAATTCCATATGGCAATGGAAGTGACACAGCAGTAGTCTGGAAAAGTATAGAAAACACCCAGATACATCTCCAGACTGTCACAGTAATACCACATCACCAGGTGAAACTGTTCCACATGCCTGTTTCTAGGAGGAGTATGCAGGACTGGACCAGGAAGAGCTGCAGCAAGAGCAAGTACTCCAACCTGCATTAGATTAAGCTGATATATGCACTACAAGCAAAATTTAAACTGCTTCTACTGCAGCTGCTTCCCAATCTGGCTCCATATCAGGCTATGGGGCAGTTTCACATGGCATTGATGGCACCTGCACTGTGGCACCCTTTAAAAGGGTCTCGTGGCACCCCAGCTGAACCACTGTTGTAAAATTTAACCCTTTTCAGCTTAAGAAGTGCTTTTTAGTTTGAAGTAACCAAGCACTTACTGCATTTTAGCCTTTGTTCAGAAACAGTAAATGTTAACTACAGGAAAGTGCATTAGTATTCATTCATGGTGTTATTTTGGTGTATTGACTTAAAGATACTAAAGCCCATATATGTGTTTGCATTCTTTCCTATATTTATAATACAGGATAACCAGGAGGATGATCCCACCTTCCCACTAATAGATTCTAATGCGCAAATGCAGATTCGAAAGCGGATTGTACTTGAAAGGCTAAGAAAAGTGTAAGTATCTTTCTTATGGAGTGAGCTGAAATAGAGCAGATATGTTCTAGACTTCATTAATCAGCACTTGATATAACAAGCACGTTCTGAAAGTGTTCTGTGATCTGTCCGGACTAGTTGTTTCTGTATGGAACTTAATATGTAGGTTAAAAACCTAAGTCCTTAAATAGAATCAAGTTATTTTTGAGGTATTTGTGTCTGATATAGTTGCACTGGTTGTGAATAAAGACAGTCAACCTGACAACCCTTTCAGTTAAAAGTGAAGGGCCAGTTGGTAGGACAGACTCTAAAAGGAGCTTCCACCTTTCTTAAGACAGGATAGCTCGAAATTGTTACATTTTCAGTTGGGTGTGCTGCTGCTCCACTGGTTGGAGGAGGACACAAATGTGGCAGTGTGATTGGCACTGTATTGGAGTTTTTTATATATGTTGTGGGATGTAATGTTTATTATTTTAAAGGCACATGGTGCTTAAATCAGGAATTGTTTTACCTTGAAAACTAGTTAACTTCTTTTATTTTCTTTAAAACAGTTTCTTATAAATCTGAAAATGTAAAATATTTCTATTAATTTTAGTGCACCAACACTTAAAGATCAGTCAAAGTTTTGTAGAACTTAAAGCTGTTTGAGGTAGGCATAGTGTCTTTGTCTTGCACAGCACACCATATATTGTTGTCATCAAATCAACAGTTGAGCAAGCAGTGCCTTAAAAACTGTTAAGTAGTTCAAGCAAACTCTTGCTAAAACAATTTCTAATATGAATGGTTTGTGTGGATGGGGCTCACTTTTTATTTTTATTTTTTAAATACTTTTTCCTTCCTGTACTAGCTGTAGGCAGCCAAACTATATTAAAGCCTGCTTGATTCTTAAAACTGTTTCCAAGCATCAGTCCCTGTTCAATCTACATAAATGCATTGCATCTGAAAGAAGAAAGTGTACAACAGTCAAGGCTCTATATACCATGACACTTAAAAGGGTTAGACTAGCAAGGTTTAAGACCATTTAAAAACTCTCTCTTGCAATTATCTAACAATTCCTAGGCAGTGCAGACAAGGAATAATAATATTCATTTAATGACTGTAGCTGAGGGCCCTTATTAAAAATACATGAAGAAGGTATAGTAATATTTCTTTTCACTCCATGTCAGTATTGATGGGGTATAAACATGTAATCAAACTGCATTGTAGCAAAAAACTGATAAATATTAACCAGTGATCCTGCAAAGTCTGAACTATAGACATTCTAAAATACCTGCTACGAAGAACAGTTGGAAATAATAGTATTGGATTATCAATCCATGTTTTTTTCCTAAGTTTTTTTGTGCACTTATTTGTACTGAAACTCCCAGTTAATTTTAGTTGAACTGTTTTTTATGTCTTTTGTATGGGAGAGGGGAAGAGAGAGAAGGGATGAAATACCTCCTTTTTGCCTTAATTTTTTAACAATTTTTGTCCCTGACAAATTTATAAAGTTTGCCGTAGAGTGGAGCATTGACAGTAGCATGGATATCTCCTAAAAGACTTGTCTGCTCAATGAACAGCCATAGTAGCAAAAAAACCCCCAAAACAGAATAGAGGATAATACAGAAAATACTGCAGAGCCCTTGAATAGATTGTACCTTATCTGGAATGCTGTGTACAAGATTGGTCTTCCCACCTCAAAAAGCACATTATAGCAGTAGAGTGGGTGCTGTCAAGGAAAATGAAGATGAGTGCAATTTCTATCATATGAAGAGACTGAAAGTGTGATAATTCTCCTTAGAAAAGTGATAAATGAGAAATGACATGATAAAAGAAGTGGTAAAGAGAACATAGTTCAGGAGTTTCTGCTCTTCCTATATTTTAACTCCAGATGTGGGGTGGACACTATCCAGTTGTAATGAAAAACTGATACTTCCAACACAATGTATATGGACCATGGGGGACACTGCTATGTGGTATCATAGAAGTAGCAGCAAGATGCAAAGAGACATTAGATATTTATGTGGATAGCCAGGATGTTCATTTGATGCTAAACTTCCGTAAGAGATAAGAGACAAAATCATTCTCCGGGTATAAGCCACTATCTTTTTGAGGTTAAAATAAGACTTAAATGGCAATACTATAAGGTTTCCTGCACATTTGCCTGAATCATCTGCTGCTGGTGACTGTTAAAGACACAAGATTGAACTCATTGGGTTGGCTATTTCCTGGGCCAGTATGATGACCCTTTTTCAGGGAAGATGAATTTTTTTTTAAATAGTTGAAGAAGTGCATTTCACAATTTCTCATTCAAAGCTGTAACTTTGATGCCTCAAATTTAACTTCTAAATCTGTATTTAGGCACCTGAATAAATGGCCATTTGATCATCATTTCTCTAAGAAAACAGAATAACCCTTGTACAACCACATATTTCACTGGAGGCAATAGTAGTGTGGATGTTCAACTCCCTTTAAAAAAAGCAGGCTACTTCTGGTTTGTAAAAAATTGCAAGATGCAATAGATAGCAAAAGTCCCGGCTCTTGTATCATTCATGCCGCATTATGTTGTAATATAAATGCATATCAGAATCTTGCTTTAATGCTGCTTTCTCTTGCTCCAAGTTGCCTTTTATAAATGCAGTTATTATCATGAATAAGGTTTTTTGGCTGGGTAGTTCTTGACAGGAATACTGTACTCAGAAGCAGAGATTTTTGAAATGCTGAATGGTTTAAAAAAAAGAACTGAGGAATGCTTTGATGCAAGAGAATGTTAATCTCCTAAAAGAACAATAAAACTGACATGCAAGCTTTGTCCCTAGCTAAGATACTATAGTTCTAACATACAGTGATACCAGCTTCTTGGGAACCTGACCATTATACCAATATCTTAATTGCCAACCTAGGTATAATAATGTTGTACCAAACTCTGTGTAAAGTGGCTCACCTGCATATCTCACTGTTGTTTGTTTTCAGATTGATTTATTGCACTAGTACCAGCCTGACTTCCAACTACCAGCATAAATATTGTCTATGCCTTTTTTCTTCTTCCTGTTTTTCATCATGTGATATTAAATTATTAAGACTGTTCTGTGCACCCAGATAATTCAGTTGCATAGCTATCTGTCTTCCTCTTCTGAACCTAAATAACTCTATGAAAACTACTTGCTTACCCACTAAATCATGATAAGGTTATAAGGTGGGTGCTAAAGTTTTAATTTTATGAGAAGTACAAATGCCATTTCCCTTTTGAGCAGATACCTCCTCAATATGATATATATTTCTCTTGTATATTAAATTATTACTATTAAAGTATTAGCTTTTTTATTACATTATTGAATCAAAACTCTTCTAGTTAAATTATTTCACTGTCTAAATCTAAAATAATATTTGAAATAGTTATGACCCTTTAGATTCCAGTCCTCCATGTTGCAAACAGAATTGCTTTTGTAAAAATGTCTTGGAAATGTAATGGAAATTTGAACTTAATTTGTAGAATGTAGTTGCTAAACAGCAGGTATATTGTATTCTTTGTATTTACACTAACTTTCACTTGGGTTGTTAAGTACTAAATAACTCCTCTAATGGGTGAGTCTGAAAGGTAAACTTACAGGCCTGATCTAAAGGACAGAGAAGACAATGAAAGTCCCTGTCTTGACTTAAGTAAGCTTTGGATGAGGCCCTATTCATCCAAAGGAGAAAATGAGGAGAAAATTCTTGTTGTTAGATAGGAAGATCTTACAACAAATATCCTTTTCCTTTAGATTGCCTGCAGTGCTGGGCCCTCTTCAGATTACACTAGGTGAAGTTTACACGGAATTAAAAAGTCTTGTCTCAACTTTTAGGTAAGTGTTGGTTTCTAAGGATTTTTCCTGGTTAGGTCACAGTTACTGTATCCACAAATAAAGCACAGAGGGGCCCACTGAAGATTTGCCGAATTCCTGCAGTAGGTCAATATAGGTAATTCCCAGTGGACTGACAAGACAACCCCATCACCTGCTTTTCTGACTGTGTGGGTCATCAGGAGCATTTATATTTTTAAAAAAGTAGGCCAGTGGACTCTAGAGAATGGCAATGAGTTCTTTAAAGACACTGCTATGCTGTCACCTCCTATCAAATGTGGACTTCTGAGACCTGTCACTTTCCCTTCCTCAGTGCCTGCTGTAGCTAAGCTAAGTGGTGTTTAATGTGATTAATTCTGGTTACCATCAGCTCCCTAAGAAACTAAGAAAATCAAGTTTGGCCCTTCCTGCTCCTGACTGAAGGGGAAAAGACAGGGAATAGAGCAAAGATCCATATAATTCATCACAAAGAGGTCTGTAGTCTGAAGTCTTTCTCCTTGGTCCCATTGAGCTTAGCAGCCTGAAGCATTGACAAAAGGCAGCAACACTAACAACAAATAGGAGATAGGGTGATAATAACAGTCATTGTACATGTCACCAGTCCTTTACTGCCTCAACATAGTCCCCACACCCTGTGTGCCGGCAAGGAGTAATGGCAATTACTAGTTACCATATTTTCTTGCATATTACCTGCACATTTCACACCACAACGAGCTGGGGAAAATTGGGGTGTGCATTTATACAAAGAAAGGGGCTCCTCACAGCTCCAGAAATTTGGGGGGGTTGGTGGAGCAGTGGCAGCATTAATTACTGCAGCTCTGGGACGCTGAAGTAAGGGACTCTGGGTCTGGCCAAGCAAGTGACTAGTTAGCGTGTGGACCCAGATTTGGCATGCCACCCGGTGAGTCCTGGATCAGGCTGTGCTGCATGGCCTGGTGCCAGCATACTAGGTCAAGTCCCAGCATACAGTCCCCAACCCCAGAACCCCCAAACCTCTGGTACTTACCCATAAACTCCAAGGTCGGAGGGGTGGGGTGGTTTCCTCCTTCAGGTGCTCCCAAAGTAGGTTGCTTGTTATATTTGGGTGGTGTATTTTACTCAGTAAAATGCAGTATATGTAGCTTAGCACTGTTTCCAGACATTTTTAAATTGTTGTTCATTTGTTGTGCTGAACTGAACTGCCAAAAAAAGGTTTTAAAAGAGTTTTTCTCATGTTAATTCATTTGGCTGAAGGGATTATTGCTTTGGTAAGTATAAGGCCAGTTCAGCTTAAACTCTGTTTTATTTGACATTTTCAAAGATCATGTAAGAAATAGAGCTAAGTAGTACAGTTAGTAGTACAGTTCCCTAAATATGGAATCTTTTGTATGTGAAGGAAGAGGGTATATGATTTTGTTGGAGGAATAAAATTTTTAAAATAAATCCCTGTTTTTAAATGAATTTTTTATTAAGTTTGTGCCTATATGCCTATATTTACATACTGTTGGAATTATCTAGATTTATAGACAAGCATTAAAGTCTCCTTAGTCTGTTTGAAAACTCTAGAATGTTGAAACTGGTAAAGATTATACATAATGGATTCTAGCCAGTGCTACTTTTAGCCAGATAGTTAACTGTATGAAAAGCAAAAACAGGAGCCCTTAAGCAGAATTTTGTGTTAAGCTTTACTAGCCATTCAAACAAGAATGTGGCCACATCAGGCATTTGGGAAGGACCCATTGTAGAAGTGTCTAGGCACCAGAGTAGACTACTTAAAAAAAAAATAGCTGAAAACGAATTGAGACTGATTTAGCTCTAGCTGATTAGGACTTTTACACAGATATGTTACTATCTTCATTATTATTTGTTAAGCCTTACTGGTAGATAATTCAAGTGAGCCTGTTGTCATTAAATATATTTAATGTATATTTTGCAGCACCCTGACAGCAATGCAGTTCTCAGATATGGTTCTGTTTAGTTTCAGTGCTGTCTTGTTATGTGGTTTAAATACTGCTTGTCATTTTATTTTAATATTGAACCTTTTTTGCAGTATCTCTTGTTAAGGGGTAAGTTGAAGGCTACTGGTGGCAAATTTGATGCGGCTTGAATTTGTCAGTTTGCCTGGCAGTTGGTTTTGTTTAATTATATTTTGGGGATCACTTATTTTTGGTATTTGAAATTTAATTGTAGGGATCTATGAGTAGATACTTAATGTAAATATTTGGGATTTACTTTGTTGCTGCTGATAGCAAGATTACAGAAAACTAGAAATATGGGATTGGGTCAGATTCTCTGTCTTTATTCAGAAGTCACTAGAATCAATTCAGTCAGGTCTAAATTTCCCTTCTTCCTTTGTCCTATTGCCTGTTAAAGGCAGGAAAAATGTCCTAGGCTTTCCCCTTCTGATGCAGTAGAATCTGCTAGCAAATGCTACCTATGTGAATATTAGTCTAAAAATCCATGGTCATTGATATCAAGGTCCCATTGCTATAATGGCTTATGCACCAGCTTAAATTAACTCACAAGAGTTGTTTAATTAATTTTGCAGTGAATACTCAGTAGTGGGGGGTGAGGAAATAAAATTAAATATATAGCTGTGTTCACAGGGTTCAGGGCTTTAAATGCCACCAAGTATTTTAATAGGATTGAAATGCTAAATAAAATACGGGGACAGCACTGACATAAATCTTTTCTGCTTTGTGCTGTGGAAGATCTTCAGGCTGCGAATTTGCTGAGGACCCATCATAGGGGGATAAAACATGGTCAGAATATAGAAGAGTCCAGCTAAATTCAGTAGCTAGACTGAAAGGATAAAAGAGCATGTGGTGAACTAAGCAACAACAATTTTCAGCTCCATTGGTTTTTAAAGGAACACTTGCAGTTCAGCCTCCTTTGGGCAGCATTTTATTCAGTCACCACTGCTGGGAAACACGCTAAAGAGATCTCGGGAGACATTTTAGAATGGTTATAGTTCTTCCCAAGTAAAGTCCCTCTGTGCCTGTAAGCTTTTGTTACGAAAACTGAGATGTCAAATAACTCTCCAGAGTCTGTAAGGGCACTTTAAAGATCAAGAGAAAATTAGATATTTATATAGAAATCTAGGATAAATGAATAAGATAATGAATGTGATTTAAAAAAATGATCTTTTAAAGAATAATACTTTTATTCAAAATCGATTGTTATGGCTAATAGAAGAATATATTTGAAAGTTCTTTTAGAAACTGCCTTTGACTTCTGAATTTCTTCCTTTCTGAATTTGTCAAAATTCTGAGCTAAAAATGTCTACATGGTCTTTTTTTTTTTTTTTTTTTTAAAGATGGTTCTATCCTGCGTTCCTCTAAGGCTTTGTCTTGGGTAGACTCACAGCAGGATGCAAGCATGTTAGCTCATGTATGTGAGTCAACATGCTTGAGCTGAAGTTTATCTTCCTCCCCTAGGTTTCAGCTTGACCAGAAAGCAAATGTTAAGTGTATACTCCCTGTTTTAAAATGTGTTGGCTAATGTGTTCAACAACAGATTTTAAAATAATTAAGACAAGCCCTTCATTCTAAATTTGTCAAACAGGGATCTCAATCCTGCAGTGAGATTCTCGAGTATAGACCTGCAGCTTAGGAAAATGTCACCCAAGTCAGTGGCCTTGCTTTTTAAACCTTGTCAGGATAGATAAGACAAGGAAAACTGCCTTCTAATTATGTTCTAAGTTGGTCAGTTTCAGACCTAGGAAAGTGTCTGTGCTTAGCATCAGTATGTGGTAAAGTACAGATTCCCTGCTCTTAAATACAAATAGTTAGGCCAAGCTATTGAATAGCATCTGACATTGCATCTTTAGATCCTAGCCAAGATACTGCTAGAGGGATTCCCTTCACACAGACAGCAGGTCTACAGTAGTAAGTCAGACTAGAATTGGAACCATAGGTGCCTTAACTTAAATGCAGCTGGTTTGATTTGCAGAGTTGCTGAATGCTTAAACCTTTCACTTCAGTAAAGTATGCAAAATAATGAATGATACAGAAAAAGGCAATTGGAGACATCTTTCTTTTTACAGTTTTTCCATTATGCAAGAGAAAAAGAATGCGATGCAAATTGAAAAGCAGCAAATGGAAAATTGATAAAGGAATATTTTTTCACCCAGTGCATAATTGGCTTAGAGGATTCATTGCCACAAAAAACATCAAGGCCAAGTGCTTAGTAGGGTTTTAAAAACCATATTTGACACTGCTGTAGATAACAGAGATCTTTACAATAAAAGGGATAACAAGTTTTGGAAGGGAGAGTACTACCTTCCTCCTAAGGGCGGAAAGCAGTCTCTAGTGAGTGTTAGGAAGAAACTGCCTCGGTGCAGGTTATAGCTTACTGTAGTTTCTTGCCTCATGATAAACGTTTGATACTGGCCACAATCCAAGAGAGTATACTGGATGGATAAGAACAATTACTGATCTAGTATAGCAGTTCCTATGTTCCTGTGTATTCTTTCAAGGGAACCCCTGCTTTTAGGAAAGTATCTGGTGTCTGGAGACAACCTCCAATTATCAGTAGCTGGTTAGTCACTAGGCTCTGCTTGCACTAAGCAAAACTTGTTGAGTTTCTTGTTTAAAAAGTTGCAGATTCTTTTCTCATGCTTTTTAGCAGAAAATTAGAACACCAGAAATTAAAATTGCAGGACTAAAACTTTATTTTTAAAACATGTCTGCTAGTTTTTCATTCCCCACCCTCCCAATATGTTTACAAGATGGAACTCTAGCTTTTTCTCCACCGTCCAGATTGTTTTCAAATAACAGTTTTGGCAGAAGACAAAGCAAGGAATTATTGAACCATTTTTACAGGGGATTTGCATTTGACTGTTGTCTGAAAGCTTTATTCTTCAGAGACACTTGTGTTGACACGCAGCTTGTTTTTGAAAGCGACTGCCCTTTCACTGCTCTTATTATTTAAGGCTTCACACTTGTAGGTTGCTTGCTTTAGTCTGATCTACCTAAAGTGGCTTTTTAAATGCACAAGCTCCCTAGGATAGGTGTTGTACCAAAGGTTACTGCTTGTGGAATCTTGACTACTCATCCAATCCAGCGACAGTAGTGCATCAACAGATCTATATTACTGCATCCAGTAGGTTATCTGTCTCCTGACTACCTTCATTATAAATAACATATTGATGGCAATGACTAGTGTTGAGACCTTGCCAATCAATACTAACATTGAATAAGAGTTAATTGACACAAATAACTGCATCTCTCAGTTTGTGTACAAGAATGACGCCTTCTAGTACTTTAATCAGTAATGGCTCCTTGTAGAGCATTGAAATAAAGCTGCTTTCTCCATCTGACAGTTTTCCCAGGTGATTTGGAGCTGTCTCTTCCATTGTGTCTCCTCATAACAGATTAACTGGAATGTTACATATGAATTGTCTGTCAACATGATTCCATCAGGCATTTCTTAGTAGTCTTTATCATTGTCATCAGTACTGAGTCAAGACCTTCAGACCTTGTTTTGTCTTATTTTCCAAGTAGAAAAGTGTTACAATTTAGCAGATGCTGACTTTTTGTTGCTAAACACTCACTGTCTTTCATGATTTAAAACAGTAATCAATACAAGTGAGCTGTTTTCTAAAAAATGATAATTTTATTAAAGGCATAGGAAGAAACAAATACTGATGGAGATGCACTGCTTTAGTAGTTGGTGATCCTAAAGTTGGTTATTTGAACTATAATTACACCTCTGTTTTAGTTGTAAGAATCTCACAAAGTTATTGAGGAGGAAATAAAACAGCATTATTTAAATCATTACTTTAAAAAACTCATTTCCCTACCTTCCACTATTGTAGGTAGCTAAAAGTAAGCAGTCTCTTGTCAAAGTGAACAGTAAAGGTTTACTCCTCAACTTATAGCTAGATATAAATGAAATGAAAGAATGAGGAGGTGAGCAATTGAAGTAAGGCTGGTGGAGATTGTAGATTTTATTGATGAAATCAGTATTCTCATATTCTGTATTCTTTTGTTTTAAATTTGACAAATAATAAGACTGTAACTTATTCCTGGCAAAGCAGCAAGTGCTTAAATCTTTCAGGTTTTTTTTTTTGTTTGTTTTGTGTTGTTGCTTGTTTTTGTTTTTGGTAATCCTACACTGTGCACAGTGGAGAGCAGGAAAAATTACCATTCTTTTCACAAGCTCTCCCAGTGACTTCATATAGACGGGGAGAAAGAGACTTCATATAGATAGGGAGAAAGAGATTTATCACAAATTTCTTTATTGGAAACTACTACATCCCTAGTTTAAAGGTTGCCATCTTTGTGATACACCTGTTTGGTCTGGAAAATGATTTATATAAAATATGATTTATATTGTTTTGGTGACATAGGAAGTAATATGTGCGGCTTAGCAGCTGTCCTAGTTTGTTATTCATTGAACACACCTGCGGTGTTCCTGGTTTTAAAATCCCTAATTTTAGATTATTGCCCAAAAAGGGCCTGTCCTTACTGTGTTCTACAGTTGTAATTTTGAAACTACGTAAAGACACAGTAGTCACATTTAACTGATTTAAAGTAGGGGTGCACCAATAGAGATTTTTGGGGCCAATAGCCGATTTTTTAAGGAGGCATATCAGCTGATACTGATCCGATTTCCGGTACCAGCCTAGCAGCTTGGAGAGCTGCGTGCAGCTCGTACATGTGGTGTGGTGGAAGGGGAGGGGAGGGGGGAGGGAATGGATGGGGGAGTGCAGATTAAGGCCCCTGCAGTGAGGGAGGAGTGGGGCTAGGGCTGGGGCAGGAGCTGGGGCAAGTGCTGCCCAGGTGGGGCGGGTGTGGGACAGTGGCTGATCTGGTGCTCGCCTGCTTGTCTGGTGGCTTCCACCGCTGCTCCCGCTGCTCGTCTGAAAGGACATGGGGGGGGTGCCCCTCGATCTGCACAAGTTGGGGCAGGCTGGGAAGAGACCCACGCAGTCCCAGCCTCAGCATGCCCCGCCCTGTGGAAGATCTGGGGGCATCTTCCCCCCCACCCCCATGCCCTCCCAGATGACCAGCAGGAGCAATGATGGGAGCTGCTGGATGAGTGCTGGATCAGCGGCTCCTGGACAAGCAGCGTGCAGCAGCAGGAGCTGCCCCTCCCCGCACCCTCTGGATGAGCTGTGGCTCTGTCCTGCTCCCACCCCAACTGTGCAGCACTTGCCCCAGCCCCACTCCTCCCTCACCACAGGGGCCTTGATCTGCACCCCCATGCCTCCTCCCTCCCCCCTCCCTTTCCACCAAACCAGACTTACCAGCTGCACACAGCTGTCCAAGGTATCCGGATGTGCTCCTCGCTGTCTATGTACTGCGGTGCAGCGGTGCATATGCGCAGGCATTTATTGGCCAAAGTAAAAGCACAGCCCGCATATGCGCAGGCATTTATTGGCCAAAGTAAAAGCACCACATCAGGCTGATTTCTGATCCGATCAATTTTCTTTATATTGGTGCCAATCCAATATTGGACTGATGTATCGGTGCACCTCAAATTAAAGGTAATATGGTTTACTTCATCACAGCATTTTTTTGCCATCACAGCAGTGTTTACCTCTTTTTACATCTGCCATGCTTCATAGTCATGTTTAATAGGTGCACTGTGAGGAAAATCTTAGTAGTTACCTGGAAAATGAGTAACTTCAAGGAATCAGTGATATAGTCTGTGATGGTAATAAAGATTGAACTAACCACCCATCCAGAACACCTGTGAGGATGTTTCAGAAAGTAAGAGCAATTCTGAAATAAAACTATTTTGTATGCAATGATCATGTACTGGACCATATCACTTCCACACATTTGTAAGTGATGGGTGCCTTTGACAATGCCACTGTCAGTGTTCACTGCTGCTGTGTAGTTTTGATTCATAGCACAAAGAATGGGTTAATTTTGAAATTGCTTTTACTTTCTGAAACACCTTTGTATATGCCTCTGAATAAGCGAAACAATAACTACTTTATTTCATCTCTGCCAGCTTATTTGAACGCTTATCAGGAATAGTTTCTTCTGTCGCAATGTCTTAGGACAGTTTCAGCCTCAGTGAATGCATCTACACATGCACTTTTCTGCAGTTGACTAATTAGCTCCACAGTAAAGTGTCACTCCCTACACATGTGCTGGTATTAGGACATAGTAAATTAATTAACTCTGCTGTAGGATAGTATTGGCTGAGACAGTACTGTGCTATGGCAGAATAATTACATTGCTGAAATGCAGGTGTAGACTGATTGGAGTTGGCTGGAGCATGAGTGTGTTAAGGTGTGGGGGCTGCCTGCCACCTAGCCCCACACTAGCACCTTTGTGCCTCAGCCAGCCCCTCTACCACCCAATGCCACCACCTGGAACCTGGGGTTGACCCCCCCCACAGATCCCCTGCCAGCCCAGGGCTGCTCCTGCCCAGTTCAAATTGCTGCAGTCCCAGGTACCTGTTCAGGCACTGCGGCAGGGAGTAGCTAACTCCAGCACAAACGTCACTAATTTATCACATCACCTGAACGGCATGCGTAGATGCACCTAGTGGTTATGTTTCTCTCCCCTTACAGTACTTACTTGTAGTGCCCCATAAGGCGACATCCTCCACACAATATCTATATGAAGTCACTGGTGGAGCTTGTGAAACAGTAAGAACTGAAACATTTTATGCATATGATGCTCATCTCCTTCCACTCAGGCCATCTGTCAGCTCTCCCAGTGCTTTGTGGCAATGAAAATGTTTAAACTGAACCCCGGCAAGATGGAAAGGATGCTGGTTGCAAGAGAGAAAGCACTTTTAGGAACTTATCTCAACAAGATAGATCTGTGATGGATGGCAACTTCCTGTTCACTGTAAAGATCAGTATACAGTGCTCTTAGAATGCTGAAATAGTGACAGTGCTGTTCACTGCCACCTGTGGTCTTCTGTAAAACTATGCCCCCACGCCCCCATCATACCCAAATCTGACCATAGTAATTCATGGATCTTTACCTTTGGCCTTGATTTACTGTGGCTTCATTATATCTAGGGCTGAAGCTAAACCACTTAAAAGCATCCATTGGTACTTAACGCAGCAGCCCGTGTGTGTAGAAGAATGGCCCTACCTTTCTGAAAAATTGTGTATCTTTCTGCACCCATGACCTCTGACAGTTATTCTAGATGTGAAACAACAGGAGGAGACTGCATGTGGGATGCCAAACTTCCATTTGAACTGGATTAAGATTTCTTAGCTTTCCCACTGGAGATGAGCTTGGACTTGACTGCATTGAAAACTAAATGTAAAATCTGATTTCTTTGAATTAACCTTTTATCTCTCAGTTCACTGGCACTTGAGAGGGCTGGGCAGTAGGTGGGAATTCTGCTGCTATTACAACAGATGGAGGAAAAGGGTTTTTTTTGTATTTGTGAGCTAGATGATATGGTGCTAAAGGCCATGTAGCTTATAGTAGATAGATATTGTACAGTACTATTAAAAATATTCATAATGAATCAAATGCTGATATTAGCTGTTTCATTCTTTTCTTCATTTTCCAGTTCTATATGCATTTCAAAATATGGTATTTAATATTGTCATTTATTTTTCAGGTTAACAAACATAAATATTATTCACAAAATGCCTGAATGGACCCTGATTGCCATTGTATTGTTATCAGCGTGAGTACTCTCTAACATGCAGCTACCCTAACTAATATATAATATTTATGAAGAGGTGACCTAAGAAAAAAAGAGGTAATTTTTGTGTGAGGAATTTTAATCAGTTTAGAAACTATGCTAGACACAAAATAAATATGTTTTTCATGCAAATTAAAAATAAAGAACAATTCAACATTTGCATCTGTGATATTAGCAATAATAAATATTAACTTGGGAAATTATGAGAAGTTAAAACACAAATCCCTACAGATTTTGAGTCATACTTCTTTTTGTTATTCCTTAATTTTGCTTTGAATTATCTTTTGACTAAGCCACAAAAAGTAGTCTTTGTGCATTGTTATTAGGTGATGTAAGTACAATAACAGACTCTTGGAAAATAAGAAACAAGAAAACACCTTATAAAATATTAAAAGATATGTTCCATTACTCAATAGGGTTTTTTGCTTTTTTAAAGAATTTCCTTTTTCCTACTAAAAGAATCTGTGTTTACCTTTAGAAATACCGTTGTCTTGGATCTCAAAATAGTATTTCATTAGTATATTGAATGATAATTCATGTATACACATTTAACACACAAAAATTATTTGACAGGCATAACTTCAGGGCATTTTTAATTATCCCCCAAAATGTATTTGAATATGCTGGTATTGTATGTATCGTATAAAATTCTTATATTAAATTGCCTAAATTGCTATATCATTTTATTTTATACTATGTGAAATGAATTCTTAAATAGTTTTTTCCTTAAAGTCTGTTTTTATATATTTCTTCTCAACTTATTTGTGTGTGAGAAGTTCCAGGTAATAAAAACTATAGTCATGTAAATTAGGTGACCTCTCCTCTGACATTTTCTACTTAAATGTTCAGGTTCAAAGTTAAATAGAGACAAAACTGTAAACTTTATAGTGTTCTAAAACAGACTTTTCCATTACAAATTCATATTAAACATTTAACATTAGTTCACCTTTTAAGAAATCACTGGTGGTTTCAAACAGTGTCAGACCCTGCCTTTCAGTGGGGTTAAAACCATCAAGCAATCTTTGTATGTCTTTCAGCTTGAATTACAAAATCGCAAAAATCTTATTTCAGAAACTGTTTATTACCGCACTGCTGCTTCTTCTTTTGGGCTTGCTGGGTCACTGGAGCCTGTAGGACAGAGAAGTACTTACCAGACATTCACAGGTCAAGAAGTGTTGTGGGCCAACCTCATAGCCTCCCCAGTACTGCACTTACTTTCTTTGATATTACTTCAGTCTGACACATTGTTCTGGCTTTACTGTCCCAAGGAAGGCTATACCAGTAGGCATTAGAGTAGGCTTCAGCGAGCCCTACATCTGTGTCACCCAGCTAGATACTGCTCAAATGATTCATTAAATCAGAACACAGAAAGTAACTTTACTTGAATGCCTTAGTATAAATTTTTTATCAACTGTAAGAACAAATCTTTTGTCATTTTTACTATATACCTGTATGGTTGAATTGGTAATTTGTGAAATGGATCTTATGCATTTTTCAGGCAGTATATTTACATTTAGTGGAATAGCGCGTATTTTGTTCACAAGTGAAAAACATGGTTTTGGTTACCTGCTACCTATAGTGTTAATAGTGAGTCCTAAAGTTTTATGATTATTTAAATTTTGGCAGGCAGTCTTCGTTGCAAAGTCAGGAATCAATGGTCAGGGCATCTTCTGCTTTCTAGAAGCCTTGTCTTGAAATAAGAATCCTAGTAGAGATTAAAATCTCATTTTAACTTTATTCCAGTGAAGTCAGAATGAAAAGCCTCACACTCTATTCCTCTTGTACCTAGTGGATTGTGGTGCTTGTCATCAGCAGCTGTCTGGTCATCACAGCCCCAGGAAAGACTCTATGTAGTCCAGGCTAGGAGGCTGCTGAAACCAACCCTCCCTTACCTCATGGATAGAAAGAGGACTTTTACAAGCATGTAATCTGGCAGTGATCTGGCCCCGTGATTGAACAGTAGCCATGTTATTCCTAAAGCCAAACAATGGGCTAGCATTAGCAACAACTTAAGTTAATTGCTTATATCCCACACTTAAATATATGATTATATTATGAGGGCTCTTAATGTAAAAATAACGTGGGGGTATCAGGAGAAATAAAAATATGAGTAAGGGGATGTCAAGACTACACATCAAAATAACTGTTAGGGTCCCAAGAGTGGGGTGTATATGTGTTTGGAGGGGTAGGGGGACAAGGGTTGTTTAAGTAATAGAGCTCTATTTCATGCAGTAGATACTTTTGCTAACATGACTTGTTAATTCAATAGTGGATTTTTTGGTTCATTTTCAGAATATCCTTAATACCTTCTGGCATCTGTAAATTCTACTTTGCTTTTGGCCAAGTTTCTATTCTTATTGGTGTCTTGAATTTTAACAGGATGTGATTACTGTTAGTAGACCATTGCATGACATTCTCCTTCATTTGTTTAAAGTATGTGAGTAATACATTATCACTGTGTATCAAATATAAGATATTATGTTAGTAGCATGAACTCTCTGTTGGACATCTAGATTCATACAAAAAAAATGCTGCAAAAAGGAATGGCCAATCTGAAAATCCAGCCGGAGGCATTTGCATCTTATTTATTACATACAAACATGCTGTATTTCTTAAATGTGCTTCCTTAGACTAAATGTAGACATCCAGTGAAGAGATTGCATTCAGGTATCTTTAAACTCTTTCTAAGATTAAGTAGACTTTTAAAATTGATTTGCAGGCCAAAAGCCTTGTTTAGTAACTTAAGTTATGATTGCTTGCAACATCGCCCTGTCTGAACATTTACTTTCTGAATTTTATGTTTTAGCCAGCTGCTTTCTAATGCAATGTAAAATACAATACTGAATGGTAGAACCTCTTCCCAAAAGGTCTTTGCTTGATCTCGAATGAAGTGGATAAATAGATACATATATGGTATTTCAAGAAGAAGAGTGGAGAACAAAGTATAGAAGATTAGTTGCCACACAAGCATGGACACTTGCTGTTTTTAGTGTATACCCCTGGTACAGACTAATGGAAAGCTTTCAAGATATTCTCAAAAACATCTGCTTTCATCTTATTTATCTGAACTGGCTGGTTCCAGTGAACTGTGGTCAGTTTTATCTGCAAAGCCTATGCAGCATCCCCCTCCCCACCTCCCCTCAGGCCCCCGCCCCTCCCAAAAAAAGCTTTAGCGCATTTCAGAATGTTCTGGGATTAGAGTATAAGCATCAGGATGCAGTATTTAAACTCAACATGATGACAGTCGCTAAACAAAAAACATCTTTAGATGTGTGCAGCCACTTTAGGTAAATGTATCATGTGGAGATGTACTCTAGAGATTTGCTCTCTGAAAAATGATGGCAGTACAGGAACTGAAGAATCTGCATACTAGTATCTGTTGTTATTACTTTGCAAGCTATAGCCTATCTATTGCTTAAAATTGAAATCTATACATTGCTTCCAATGGGCTTCAGTTATTGATAATTCTGCTGAATTTGTTTAAACATTGTAATCTTCATATGTGAAAATTTAAAAGATATTAAACACAAATATCTGCGCGATGCCAAAGTAAAGTAGTTCCCTTATTCTGCAGATTGGTTTTCCTGTGAGTAGGCAATCATATTTGTTTAGTTTAATGAAAAACGTAAGCTTTTAGTCCTGTTATGCCTGTAGAGAGTCAGTGCACCTTAGACAAACAGCTGAAAGCTTATTTTGGTTAACAGTCCTGCTGATGATGGATAATGAGCCAAATTCCAACTAGAAAAAAAAATTCTGTTAAAATGGATCTTGTTGTTGTTGTTCCTAGTTTTAATTGTTTGACGGGCCAAGAGTTTAAAATGTTCTTTTGCTTTTTCCTGATTTAATGACAAATTAATGCCACAGTGCCATCTCTACAGCATAATTTTTCGTCATTCTGATTTACTGTGTAAAAAACCCCAACTCTTTCTCCAAGTTATGCTAAGTAAATGTATGTTTTCTTCCATTTTTCTCCTCTCCTTGATTAATGGATTATAACTTTTCAGTTAACAAAATGCAGTCGATATTTTTTTTTGATAAACAGGTCTTACTGCTATTTGCCTTATAAGCAAATTCAGTTCAGCTTATTCATCTTAAATCAGTAGTCTTTACTGTACTTCCTTTTAACACTGTTCAGATATTACTTGGGAAAATATGTGCAGCACAGAAACTTATGCAGGTAGGGCTTTTACTTTTGCTAATTGTGGATTTAATTGTGAAGTATAGCCTTCATTAAGTTAATTAGATTAACCTATATTAAAATAAGTACAAAAAAGAAACTAGAAGTTAACACAGTTTAGAAGAAGGAGCAGTTGCTTTTTCCCCCCCTAATATAAGTGGCCTCACTTGTCGTCTGGGAAAAAGATTTACAAATTTTATTGTTATGCATAACTGCAATCTAAATTTAAATATACAGCTAAATTTTTTTTAATTCAGCATTCCCAGGAGACTTCTAAATGTGCCATGTATGATACAAGGCTCAAATATATTTAATATGCAGCCTTCCCCTGTACATTTTATGGAGACATAAATAAGTTTACCACTACTTTAAGATATCATCATAGTCACTGGCTTCATCAGTCAAGGAGAAGAGCACAGGATACCTTCTAGAGCTCCTGGTTGCACAGGTAAATGTGTCCAGGTATAGACTGCATTTTCTTATGCACCCATTAGTTCTGCTACTCAGTGCAGGAGAAAGGTGGAGCTGTGGCCTCCTTTTAGATGTCTTGAACCTAAAAACTATCTTGGAGGGGAAAGCTAATGTGTACATGCGTGCAGGAATGCAGGACCTGTGATCTAGGGCTGTGTGAAGCTTCAGTCCCTGATTTGATTCGGCTCAATTTGGTGGCCAAATCTCTGAATCCAGATTGAATCGGAGGACCCTTTAATCTCTCCAAATCAAATCGGAACCCTCAGAATCAATTTGGAAAGATTCGGACATAGACACAGTTTTTTAAATGTTTTTTTCTACATACCTCTAGGTAGCAGGGGCTTGTGAGTGCGATGCTGGTGCACGTGGGGTGTCCCACAGAAGCGCGGGGGTCTCCCCAGCACGCTTAGCAGCAGACCCAGAAGTGGACCAGAAGCACATCCAGGTCCCCCAGGAAACTTGCTGGCCACCCCCACCCCCAGCTCAGCAACTGGTACCTCCTGGGTCTAGGGGGTACCTGGTTTACCCCTGCAGGTGATCCCTGAGCTGGCAGGCCTACTTCCAGTCCACTTCTGGGTTTGCCACTGAGCATGTGGAGGGCCCCCCCACACTCCTGTGGGACACTCCATGTATCCCAACATCGCAGTGATCATGAGCTGGTACCTCAAGGTATGTAGAAAAAACTTAAAGTTGTGCCTATTCTCTGAGTAGGCATCGGATCTTTGGATTTGGCCAAATTGAATCAGGGACAGTGATCTGAATCAACAAATCAAATCAGAGTCCCTGATTTGGGCCAAATCCAAATCAAATAGGGCCCGTTTTGCACACCCCCACTGTGATCATGTCACACTCTGAGTGTGAGAATTGCATGCAAGGAAATGAAGTGGCAGCTAGGTCTTAGCTCTGTGAGCTACATAGTAGCTTATCATGATCAGACCCTCCAATTTGCCCTCCTTAACTACCAAAAAAAAAGAAAGAGACAATTCTAGAGAAGAGAAAAATACAGAACTGTACTTTGCTGGTCAATACATTTCATAGATTTCACAGACAGGGCTGGAAGGGACCTCAGAAGATCGAGTCCAGCCCCCACACCCGAAGGGCAGGAAGTCAGCTGGGGTCATAGGATCCCAGCTATGCTTTGGAGCTTCTGAATGGAGTATCCTAAGGAAAATTTAGTTCACCTTCATCTCCCCTTTTATTTTAATCTACAGGCCACAAGTACAGTACAGAAGGTGCAGTACTTTCCTCTGCCATCTAATTTCTGTCCCGTGTGTAAGATATTGCTCAGGTTTTTATGCCAGCTGTAATCCTAGCACTGTCCTAAGGACACTATACAAAATTGTCAGGAAGTTTTGTCACATTGACTCTTGCCCTTTGGCAGAATGAGTTGTCATGTCATTTTGAACTTCATGCTGCTGTTAACCTCAGCAGTGAAAAACCTGCTAGCCCCATTTAGGAAAATAAGTAGGAGCTATATAATATTCTGAATGTTTAGTTTTTTATTTTTTGATGATTTTTTTTTTTATTCTTGTAATAGACCTCATTGTTTGCTTTTACTTCCTCTAACTGTAATATGCTAGTTTATTGAAACAGTATGTGTAATTGCCCAAGAATAAAAATAAACCATATATGCCATAAGTTTAAAAAATTATGCCATAAGTTTCAAAAACCTTTTTTTTCCACCCTTTTTAAAACATGAACTAAGCTGCACTGTAGTGTATCTAGTTGTGAAGGAAAACATGATGTTGCTGTTCGATATATTATTCTATAATGCAGAGATCAAAGCTGTTAATAGCAGGATTTAAACTTGGCATTAATCTTGGGTACTTTGGGTTCACCCACTGAGCAAACTTACTGTAGTATCATAGAGTGAATAACAAAGCACTAGCTTTATTTATAATGAGAACATCCCTTTGAAAATGTGCCTGCTTCCTTATTAATGCATAATCTTCATACATTAAATGCAAACATTTTTATCATTGAAACATAACCCATCTGTTAGAAAAACATACAAGTTTGAAAGATTGTGACAAATGCATTCAAAGCTTTAATTTTATCTCTGCAACTTTCTAAAGAACGTTTGAGTTTACTGGAAACCTACCATGTGAGTTTCATTGATGTTAGAATTTTCATAGAATGTAAATCAGTGTTGAATCTGGCTTACTTTTTCTGAATCAGACAGAAAGTCTTTAAAAGTTAAACAGTGGCCCAAAGCTTGGTAAACTTTACCTTATTCCCCTTTCTAGACTGAGGCCTTATACAGACATTCATTTAATCCTGGGAGAATTTGGAACAACCAAGGTTAAATCACTCCCAGGAGAGTTGCACCTGGGAAAGTGAATATCTGTACATGCTGAAAGTTATTCCAGTATAACTATGCTGAGGGTAGGTATAATTTAGTTCTCCTGTTCTATTTAAAAGCAGTATAACTTTTTGTGGGCATTCAGAATATCAACTCCTGACCATCTGCATTAGCACTGCATTTTTTATGCTTCTTTGTTACTTACGGTGGACTTCGTGGGCCCAGGTAATAAAAAGGGACTGTCTAAATAGGCAACATTTCATCATTGGAATTCTGGTTTATTTCTGTCTTGTCACTGTTGAAAGTTACAGATATGATATCACCAGCACTTTTGCCTTAACACTTGCATGGAATTATTACAAATAGAAGACTCTTTCCTTTTGTCTCTGAACACTGTTGCAGAATCCTACTTCCTTTTAAAAATAAAATTATGATGTTAAAAACAAATATAGTGTTTTTTCTGGTTCCTGACCCTGACTTTCTGCTTTTGCTTAGACTTGGGTTTTGGATTTCCCTATGGATTTGTCTTCTGGTTCTTAACCCCTAGCCTGGCTCTGTGTTCTGACTTCAACCTGTGGATTTCTCCTTGGACTTTGTAGCACAGCTTCTGACCTTTCAGATCCTGACCCTGGCCTGTGTTGTGGGTACTGCACCATGATTTCTCTTTGAACTTTGTAATTTGGCTCCAGGGTTCTGTCCCAGCCTCTGGTCTCCCAGCCACAACCTGATCTGTAACATCCACAGGCTGAGTTCAGCCCACCAGTCATATGTTTAACATATCTCTGATCTATAGGGTTTCTTCTGCCTAGTCATTTATTTGGTACAGTACATGAGACTTAACACTAGTTCAGATAAACCATTGGTCTGATCCAGTATGGTCACTGCTTTTTTGTTCCTAATGCAGATTGTTTAAATCAGAGAGTAAGTTGGACAACAGAGGGTATGGCACTTTTGAAATATGGGTTTTTTATGTTAGTGAAAACAAGGAAAATTTATATTGCCTCATTAGGGAGGGAAAGGAATACATGCTATGGATGAGAACATGATATACAAAGTGTATTTCTGGAAAATGGGATATGACCAAGATACTAGAAATGTAGAAGGTCTGTTTTAGAGTGCATGGAATCCAAAAGGGCAAGTGGCCTTCCTTGACAGACAGGATATAATTGCAAACAAATTGCAGATGGAAAGGCAGGTAATAATTTAGTAGACTTCTGTTTACTACTGTTTACTGTCTAGTAATAAGAGTAAAGAGATTCAATCTTCTTGAATTTAGAAACCAACGTGTTGTAAGTTATCACATATTCCCCTGTAATGAAAGCACGTAAAATTACAGTATATATTTTATTCATCTAAAACTGACAGTATCCTCTTTTATTAATTATAAAGATGGGGCTACTGCTGTTTACATAATGAATACCCAAGTAGGGTGCTTTAAAATAATGTATGTGAGAGCAGCAGAAACAGTTTTATTTCATAACCTCCTCTCTCATCCCCTCACCCCCTCCCCAAGTCTCCAAAGAAAAGTTTTGGAAGCTTTTTCCATTAGATTTGGAAGGTGACATAACTAACCAACACTTTGAAAAGTAAATCATGAAACTGCAAAACATTTAAGCATTAGTTAACTTTATTAAGTCATTGGTTTCATTAGAAGTTCTTGTGAGCAAAGTTGTTCACATGCTTCAGTGCTCAGAGCACTGATTCTCAACCAGAATGCTATAGCGTCTTGGCTTGCTTGAGATCCTTTTGAGGTACTGTGGAATGCTATGCAGTGTTAGCACTGTTAGGTGTGCAAACATGATTCATGGGATAAACCCCGGTGGGTGCATCCCCACATGCAGGAGTGCATGTTTGCCATGGCACAAATAGCAGTGGCATGTATTTGTGCTGCTGCTTTGTGCCCCAGGGTAACCCCCTGCATTCACACTCTGGAGCATGCCAGATTGTCTCAGGTGGGGTAGGGGAGGCTGGGGCCAGCACCTTTGTTGGCCCTAGCAGCCTTACCTGGGGGTCTGGGAGCCTCCAGGGGCAGCAGCAGTGCCGATCCAGCCACACAGAGCCCAGCTGGCAGTCAGAGCATGGCTGTGTACATCTAGACTCTGTTTCTGGCAGTGCATGCTGCTTTTTGCAGCTTTTTTAAAATATATATACCGGGACATCCCAATATTTTGGCACCACACTGTAGATTTGCAGTGCAGCGTACAGTTGCATGTTCACCGTTTGTAGTGCCACAACTGCACATTTATGCTTGTCTGGACGCGCCCACAGAGTTCAAATAGGAATCCATCACATTAAAAAAAATTCTGACTTCCTGAGTTCTTTGCAACAGTGGCTTGCGCTCTCTT